ATCGCGAATTTATGACATCTTTTTTCCGTATTTCCTTCTTTAAGCAATGGCCGCTTTGTTGGCCAACTCTCTTCGACGTCAGTCATTGTTCCTCCAGTTTTCGGAAATGCTCAATGTGCGCCTGTTAAGTTCGGACAAGAAGTCACGCCCTCCACATCCCAAACCCAAGTCTTTCGAGGAAAGACGGAAGCTCAAGAAGGCTGCCTCCAAGACAACCGGTGCTATCCCAACCAGGTAATTTTTCTCTTCTGCTTCATGCTACATCTTTCCAGCGAGCTGCTGAAAGATTTTCTCAACCCCCCACGTGCAAAGTCAGACCCAGCTCAAGCGGCTAAGCTGTCGAAGTCAAAAACGAAACCAGAACCAGATGCTACCGCGACTCCCGAGACCGCCGAACCTTCTGCCGCCAAGCCCATGCTAGAAAATGTCATCAAGTCGAAGTAGGCCATTCTTTTTTTCCCTCCTTACTAACGTCAGGGACCTTTTGAAGGACTTTTTAGACGCAAAGGGCAGGCCTGATCGGAGATTGGTTCGTCAGCGGCTGTCGTCAACAAAGGGTTCCGTGGTAGACGAGCACTTTCGTTCAAGACGCACGGAAGCGTAAATTTTCTCACATTCTCACTGCTTTCCTTTAGTCTTCCACAGCCCGAGCAACTTAGCATCTTTGACGAATTGCCTTTTCCCGAAAAAGGTTCGTGCTTAATATTCTCAGTTTTTGATTGTATTCTATGGTAGATGTCTGCTTTATGTACTCCTGCTTACGCAGCTTGCCTACTTCCAACATATAGTTCTCCCTATCGGATTTAATGGGCAGCTCGTGGTTGAAACCCGAGTTTATAGTGCCGGCGAACATGTTCACTCGGTTTAACTGTCAACGAGCGCTACTCTCTGACTCATTAAATCTAGTAGATTGATTGGCCCTATGCTTAAGGTGTGCGCCACCCTGGCAATCAACCCTATACCGAGCCACGCGGTAGATGTGTTGCATCAAACAAGGAGGGGACCCAGGTCAGAGCACGGCGCACTTTCTTTGGGCTGCTAGTTCGTTACATGTAGTGGCACACTTAGGCGCATGCTCACACCGCCTCATATGCGTCCAACCCCGACTCAGTCTTCCCAACTCTTCCATTACTCCGGTGTAGGTGGGTGCTGTAGATACTGCGATAGTCCACTGTCACTCTAATCGGAGTGTTCACATTTTTGCACCTTCTACTCTTTTAATTGTACAAATAAATTTTCTGACCCGGTGAAGGGGCTAGTGCTAAGAGCGACCACGGTGGCTAACAGAGCTAGATAGCCCGCCCGCCCGTGTCACACACAATCCGGCCTCCAACGAAACGCACAAGCTTTTTACACAAAGTGCTGGGCTGTTCGGTTCTTGCTAGCAGTAGAGGGCTCTAGACGTCCCACGAAGGAGTTCAACACCATGCTCCTCCCTCACGGCAGACATGTCGATTCAGCCCCTCTGGAGGATGGGAAAGGGGGTGGTTCGTGTGCGATTGGTCTGTTTTGGTGTGCTCACACAACGGGTCACGATTTAGATGCTTTGAACAAATCTGGTGGCCAGATCGGGGCACAGCAGGCGTTATTAGGGATGCGTATCCACCACAAGTGTCACATGTGGTGGTGGTGTTGTTGGTTGGTTGGTAGCCCTTGTTGAA